CAAAAACCCTAAGCCCTTCATCTGAGCTTCAGCTCAAGGGCTGGGTTTAGGGTTTAGGGTTTAGGGTTTAGGGTTTAGGGTTTAGGGTTTAGGGTTTAGGGTTTAGGGTTTAGGGTTTAGGGTTTAGGGTTTAGGGTTTAGGGTTTAGGGTTTAGGGCTTAGCGTTTAGGGCTTAGGGCTCAGGGTTTAGGCCTTAGGCCTTAGGGCTTAGGGTTTAGGGTTTAGGGCTTCGGGGCCCCCATGAGAAGATCTCTTTTCCCGTGAGCAGCTAAGGCACGACATCCAAGACCCTAAGCCCTAAACCCTAAACCCTAAACACGAAACCCCAAACCCCAAACCCCAAACCCTAAACCCTAAACCCAACCCTCGTGGCAGAAGCTCCGGTCCGCAAACAGGGCCATGGGCCTGGATTTTGCAAGCTCTCGGGCTGAGGGGATGCCTGTAACCCAAAGACTTAGGGTTTAGGGTTTGGAGTTTAGGGTTTAGGGTTTAGGGTTTAGGGCTTAGGGTTTAGGCAGAATATGGTTTAGGGCAGGCGTTTAGGGACCTCGGGCAAGGTTAGTTTGGGTAGGCTGTGCCCCTCTACCGGTCGTGCCGCATCTGCTTCGGCACATAAACGCGCGGCGTGAGACAGGCGGGGGTTGTTCCATCTCGGGGTGTCTAGTGGCTAGCCAGAACCCTGAGCCCGGAGCCCTAAATTGCACCATGGGTCCTCCAAGCAAAAAAAGAGGAAGCCATTGGGGCCCATATTCCGCCAGCACGAACCTAGCCCTGAACGCTGAGAAGTTAAACCTTCAGAAGCGCTAAGCCCCTAATTCCCATGAGCTAGACCAAGCTTGCAGGCTTTTCGGCCATTTCAACAGACCCGCAAACCTTAAACCCCTCAGCCTTAAACCCTAAGCCCGAAAACCCTCAACCTTACACAAACACTTGACATGAAACAGCCCCCACTTGCTCCACAGACTGCATTTGCAAGGCCCTCCAGGTGTAGCTTAGCCTAAAAGTGGAACTTGGGGGGAGGGGGTGAGGGGGGAGGGGGGGGGGGGTGCTTGGTTGGTTTAGGGGGCAAAGGGCTAGGTTTTAGGGTTTTAGAGTTCGTCCATGTCCTGATGTTCCCTGCACGAGGTTCAGGCGTTCCCGCTCTTAGGCTTTGGGTTGAGGGTTAGGGAACACCCCTACGCCCTTCTTGGAGATTGAGGGTAACTTCTAAACACCCAGAAAAAGTGTAGTTATCCCACTTAGGAACCCCGTAATCGCCCACAGAGGTCATGATTGGTGTTGACAGTCATTTGCATTTATATTTATCTTACAATTGAACTGAACCTCTCCAAGTATACACCCTAAACCCTCAAACCCGTCAGGGGATTTGGGGTGTAGCGTCAGGTTTAGGCGCACCAGGCTTTGAGAAGCAGTTTAATGCCCTCGCCTCACAGGCACCTGGCAGAGGGAATAGGGTTGACATTTTTAGGGTCTAGGGGTTAGGGTGTAGTTTAGGGATTGGTAGCTCATTGTCAGGCGGACACCCTGGGAGGAGCTGATCACGGTGTGATCAATTAGCAAAGCGCTGACGCCATGTTCCTGGGGACGCAATAAGAATGGTGAAACGGCCCAACCTTTTTCATTAAAACATTCCCCTTTCAACCTACCCCTAAAACCGCAGCCGGTTGGCGCTTGTTCTAAGCACTGCGCATGGTTACTCGCCAGGGGTGTTTTTCGGATGGTCCGAGTTTCTTTTGAATGGCTTAGGAAGCTGTAAGAATAAACCCTAAAAGCCCTAAACCCTAAACCGAACCCCTAAACCCTAAACCCTAAAGGACACATCACCCTCAAGCCTCAACCCCAACCGCTTACCCATTCGCTGCCGCCCTAAAGCTTCACTGGATTCGGATGCCGGGGTTTTAGTGTTCGGTTCAGGGTTTAGGGCCTGACGCCAAACACCAACATATCCACAATACAGCGTAAGTCCTACACAAGGGTATTGATGACTAAGCCCAAAAAGCCGTTTAGGTTTTAGGGTTAGAGGTTTAGGGTTTAGGGTTTGGGTTTAGGGTTTAGGTTTAGGTTTAGGTTTTAGGTTTAATGTTTGGGGTTCTAACTCCTAAACCTACCACCCTAAAACGACTCAGATTAAGTGGCTGTCTGTCCTGCGCCGGGAGGCATCTAGCCCATTTAGAGAAGAAGTGAGAGGCCAAACCGGGGGGGTGGGGGGGGGGGGTGGGGGGGGTGTTTAGAGGGTCTAGGGTTTTGGTTTATTTCGGCCTCAAAAGTGGCAACAAAAACCTTCCGCAGACCAAGTTTGCGTTTTTTACATTATGATTTCGGGGTCCCTCACTCGCTTCATCCTTTCACTTTGCATGTGGCGCGCTCAACGCTCGTCGGGGAAGACCATGCGTCCGAGTCTGCGGCCAAGGCACCAACAGCGTAATATAGAGGCTGACAATTGGCATAGGTTTTTTTTGTTGGGGGTTGCGGTTGATTATAGTAGAATTATGAGTAATTTATCCGACCCACAACTTAACAACCTGAAACCGACATTGTCCTGCGTTCTGGTAGTATCGGTAGGTGTTGCTTTCTGATCTCGCGCGAGAGCAGACGAGAGGGCTTCGGTGTAGATTGGGGCTCTTGTGGGCCTTATAGAGCAAGGAACGAGCGCGAGAAAGAGATGTAACCTTGAGCCCGAAACCGCTGTACGGATATGGGCTTAAGAAGTATTATGGGGGCTCAGTGCTATGAGCCTGTCCGGATGTTCTAGGATCTAAGTAGGAATTTCCATTGCGAAAGAACCCATCAAAACCGTCCCACCCTATCACCCTGACCAGAATGGTACCCGAAAACAGTAACCCTAAACCTAAACCCCTGAACCCTAAACCCTTAACCTAACGGACCTAAAGCCCGGCGCGGACTGCGCACCGGTGCCAGTAAAGTACGTCTGAGACAAGGTGCTTTGCCTTTGCAACCAAGGCCGGCGACCCTGGATGCTTTTTAGGGTTTCGTGGTTTTGGGTTTAGGCTTTCTGCTTTCTGAGGCCTTAATGCTTCCCCAGGTTTAGGGTTTATAAAGGGTTTAGTGTTTAGGTTAGGGTTTAGGTTTTTCGCCGGAGTTTAGAGCATCCTGCCCATAAGTAAAAACTTTGCGGCAAGGGGGCATGCGACAAGATTTGTGCAATTGTTTATGGCCCACCTCACGCAACACAAGAAACCTACAAGCTTCTTCGACCCCTGTGCTGAAATCGAACTAGAGGGCCTACAGGGTATCAGGGATCGTCCTGTAGTTAGTAGGCCCTGCAGAATACAATGACGGTTTCCTCCTTCTCGTCCATGCCCGCTCCACTTGGTGGACCATAACCGTTGCCTGCCTCCGGTTGCAGGAAAAATGCCCGGGCTTTCTCCGCCGCCCGGAAATGCGCACGACTGAACCTTAAAGCCTTGTTCCCCCGGAGCGCTGCAGCAGCCTGCTGAGGAGACCTTCGTCGAAGGGTTTTTTTTTGGGGTCCCTGCTTGGGACTATATATACCCAAAACCTCGCGTCCTCTGAGCTGCATATATATATATACTATATATATATATTTTTTTTTTCGTTTATGTGTATATATATTATATCCTAGGTCCATGGCCGTAACTATTTTTTACTTTGGCCTTAAAAAGTACCTCCATACAGGGACTTTAGTCCCAGTATATAATAATGCGGTACATGGACCCTTAGGGTATACCCAAAAACCTCAGCGTGGCCCTCAAAAAGCCTACAGGTTCTGAGTAACGTCCTTGCTCTCAAAGCCAACATGGTGGGATAGACCGGACCGTTTGCCTTAGCCTTGAGGCTCACCTTCTCCGTTGCCAGCTGACTCTACACCGGCTACAATAAACCACCGCTTTTTTGAGGCGCGCAATCTTGGTTTCAAGCTTGTGGACTCCCGACTCCCAGCATATAGTTTTGAAACCCATCATGCAGCACTAGGTTTGCCAATTGGGGGGGGGGGGGGGGGGGGGGGCGGCGGGTTGCGATCCCCCCAACCCCCCCGGACTTTTCAAAGCCGCGCAAGCTTGTTTCAAAGCATATGAATCGTTTCAAAGCATGTGAACGGCTGAAACCCATGATGCGAGCACCTCCCAAATTACTTTCGGCCTATAGAGGATGCCAGAAACTAAATGAACACTTTGGGGCTCTGAGGACACTCGAGGTTCTCGGTGCCTGCAGAGAGGGTCTTGGGCTGGTTGGAGGGGTACTGGCCTTTCAATGTAGCTTAGGGTGTTTAGGGTGTTTGGGGCGTTCGGTTGTATAGGGTGGAAATGTATGAGATGCATGGGGTGCATAGAGGGTGTATAGGGAGTGCACAAAGGGTGTAGAGTGTAGTACAGGGCTTAGGTCAGAGAGGTTTAGTAAGCATCGGACATTTGAACCCACGGGGGGGGGGGGGGGGGGGGGGTGGGTTTAGGGTTTAGGTTTTAGGGTTTGGGGTTTAGGGTCTAGGGTTTAGTAGGGTTCAGGGTTCAGGGTTCAGGGTTGAATTAGGGTTTAGGGTTTAGGGTTTAGGGTTTAGGGTTTAGGGTTTAGGGTTTCAACAAGTCGTAGCTACATCGACCCCACTTATAACCCAAGTTACCACCAGCGCTAAACCCTAAACCCTCCATTTAACCCCAGCTATGAACATCCAGCCTTGAGCCTCAGCATCTTCCCCGACACTCCACCTCTGCAACGACCTCAAACCCTGAATCCTGAAACCTGTTGCTAGAAAGAGTCTAGACCTCTGAGGCCAGAATATACTCCTGAAATCCTTGAGGATCCCTGAATGAAGGGGAGTGACATCCCTAACCCTAAACCCTAAACCCTAAACCTTCAAGCCTGGGCTTAGCGTACCTGGCCAGGGTCTTAGGGTTTAGGGTTTAGGGTCTAGGGGCTAGGTTTAAGGGGGCCCAAATGGTAACCCTCAACGACAACATCAAAACCCGAAACGCACGCGATAGGTGGCATCAAAGTGGAGCAAGCCTTCTGTCGCCCGTTGCTCAGGTTTTGAGCGTGTCCTGGGTAAAGTTGACTTCCTGCCGCTGCACCCGAGCCCTAAAACCCTAAACTCAGGGTATCTCGCGGAGCGAGTTGTTCTTAACCCACCAAGCCCAAAGTGAACTTTTAGACACTCGAAACCCAAGACCCCAGGCCCCAAACACCAGAATCCAAGATGGAGACTATAAGATTCTGAGATGTGGAGAAAATGGGGGCCCCTAAAGCAGGCCCCCAAAATAGCAGTATTCCCTTATAAGTGCCCTAGTAAGGTACCCCGAATATCCCTAAACTCTAAACCCAAAGCCCGAAACCCTTGACCCTTGTGGGCTAGGCACTGAAGGATCAGGGTGACGCTCTTCATATTTGTTTATGGTTCGAGGTTGGGATGTTCCCCTTAAACTAACAGTCCTTAATGGGGATTATAGTACCCCCTACTATCATCCCTATCAAGGACTGCTACTTTAAGGTGGAACATCCTAAGTTCTAGGGTTTGTAGGGTTTGGGAAGAACCCTAAACCCTAAACCCTCAACCCTAAACGCTAAACCCTAAACCCCAAATTATGGTGGCAGGGTTGAGGGCACAGCTGGCATGCCGGTGGCCTCGTATACTCACCGACTTGGGCAGGCTCACCCAACTCAATTCTACTAAGCTCATTGCTTTCCGGAGGGCTGCGGGCTTATATCTGGTGATCATGATGTGTGTATATATATATATATTTATTTATTTATCTATAATTTTAAATATTTATATTTATATTTACTCGCACGCATATGGACACACACACCACACGATATGCTCTCTCTCTCTCTGTCTCTGTCTCTCATTCTTCTCTGTATTATATGACTATATATACAGATAGATAATACGTATATACATATCATCGATCAGATCAGATCAAATATGGTGCGTTTCTAGACACTTCCATAAATGCTGGCACCTGTTCGGGTTACTATTCTAAGGCGGCGCTGAGAAATTACAGGGCACCCCAACCGGGACTTGAGAACTACCCAGAAGTACATATATACATATATATGTATACACATAATGTGCATATATATATATATATACATATATATATATATATACATAGCCCTAAACCCTGAACCGTGAACCGTGAAACCAGGCCCTCAACCCTAAACACAAAATCCAACCAGAGGCTGGCTGCCTTGACCACGACATCCGGCGGTGCAGCATCAGAGAGCTTCGGGGTGACGCCGAACCTGGGAGCCCCGGAGGAACGCGGGGAGGAGCAGCGCGATTGCCATCGACATATGCGGAACACGTGGGGTTTAGGGTTTAGGGTTTAGGGTTTGGGGTTTAGGGTTTAGGGTTTAGGGCTCAGCCCTAAACCCCAAACCCGACTTAGGGTTTAGGGTTTAGGGCTCAGCCCTAAACCCCAAACCCGACTCGGCCCTCTAGATGAAGCTACACATGCGTGAAAAGGGTCCTTTAAGGGACGGGTGTCCCAGGAAGGGCGCTCACTTCAAGAACAGAAGGGCTTGCCCCTCCCGGGACGTTTCTGAAAGTGCTGGTGCCGTTTTCGGCGTTCCTATACTACCTTATTGTAGTTTTTTTGGGGGAAAAGCAGGGGTAATCAAACTTTGGGAAATGTCTAAATATGGGGTTCAGGATTCAGGGTCCTCAGGCGTTCGCGCCGAACCCCCAAACTTCTTGAAAGCACTGTGCTTTGCACGGAAGACAAGCCACACACTGCCACACACCCGGAAAATTTCCCCTGTAGGGGTTGTTGCTTAGAAGCTCTTTTGACTAAGTCTGTCTACTTCGTATCCCCTAGAATCCCTATTGTGATACCTATACTAGCCCTACTTCCTCAAAAGGGGCTTCCAAGTATCCCATCCCTACAACCCAAACCCTTAACCCTTAACCCTTAACCCTAAACCTTAGACCCTAAACCCTAAACCCCAGAAGCCCCAAAGGGGTGCCGCACGCGATTCCCTGGGCCTCCCTGCGCCCACAGCCGCATGTTCACGCTGTGTTGGAGGTCAGGCCTTGGTTGAGGGATTAGGGGTTTAGGGTTTAGGGTTTAGGGAATAGGGTTTAGGGAATAGGGTTTAGGGATTCGGGACTTGGAATTAGGGTTTAGGGATTGAGGGTTTCGGGATTTGGGAGTAGGGTTTAGGGATTAGAGAATGGGGTTTAGGGATTAGGGTTTAGGGAGTAGGTTTAATGAGATAGGGTTTAGGGTTTAGGGATTAGGGTTTTAAGGATTACGGAGTAGGGTTTAGAGAGAGGGTTGAGGGTTTAGGGTTTAGGGGTCTGGGGTTTCCAGGAGTTTAGGGCTCGGGGGAGTGCCACTGAGGGTCTAGGGTGCCCACCCGAAGGTTCCCCAGCAGCTAAACGGGCTTTTGGGTGGAGGACGTTGCCGGGATGGATCTGGGTTGTAAGATTTATGGTTTCTATAACCTATATAAACATAAATAATCCCCAAGGGGATACAGGTTTAAGGCTTGCGGCTTCGGGCCTAAGATTTAGGGTTTAAGGTTTGGGGTTGAAGGTTCAAGGTCTATAGTTGCACAAACATCAACGCAGCGCCATGACCCCCAATGTCCGAAAAGGTGCTCCCGGCTGACCCAGACACGGTTTAGGGTTTAGGGTTTAGGGTTTAGGGTTTAGGGTTTAGGGTTTAGGGTTTAGGGTTTAGGGTTTAGGGTTTAGGGTTTAGGGTTTAGGGTTAGGGCTTAGGGTTTAGGGTTTAGGGTTAATGAACCCTCAACCCTGAAGCCTACCCAAGTATATGGACGGTTTCGGGCATAGGGCTTAGGGTTGAGGGTGTGTTAGGGCTTGGAACTGAGCACGAGGCCCAAACCCCAAACCCCAAACCCCAAACCCCCAAACCCCCAAACCCCAAACCCCAAACCCCAAACCCTAAACCCTAAACCCCAAACCCCAAACCCCAAACCCCAAACCCCAAACCCTAAACCCTGAACCCTAAACCCTGGCCAAAACTCTAAACCCTGAACCTGAACCCTACACCCCCAAACCCCCCAACGGCTGCAACGCCAAGGTTGGCACAGTGGAAGCTCGTTGGGGTCGTAGGGGAGGTAGGGGTCCTGCGACGGTTTTTCAGGCTTGACGGCTTCGGGTGTAGGGCTTGGGGTCCTTACCTGGAAGCCCTTGTGACCTAGAAAGTAAGGTTAGTAAGTTGGGTTCTGGCGACATTTCTAGGGTTTCTAGGGGGGTACGAAGTAGACTTTCTGAGTCAAAAGAGCTTCCAAGCAGAGCAGTCATGCAAGGTTCCTTCGTCCAGCGGTGCCGGAGTCTCTAGGAGCACTCTGAAGCGCCTGAAACCCTCAACCCCCAAACCCCCAAACCCCCAACCCCCCCAAACCCCGAAACCCCGAAACCCCCAAACCCCGAACTTGCCCCAAATGCTGAAACCCCACAACCCCCAAAGCTCCGCAACCCGAAAGCCCTGAATGTTGAACCCGTTGCCAACCCCTAAGTCGTTCCCAGGTGCAGCGTCTTGACCCAAAAATCACCTAGGTGTAAAAAAAGGTCGCCCTTTTTGGCTTAACGGGGGTTGTAAGAGAACCTGAACCCGAAACAAAGAGAGGAATAGCGGCCTACTCTTGGTCCTGGAATGTTGAGGGTCTATGAGCGATTCGGGCCTGTTTGCTGTTTCGGGGCAAGCACGAGGGGGTTTGGGGTGTAGGGTTTAGGGTTTAGAGTTTAGGGTTTAGGGTTTAGGGCTGGTTTTTGGGGTTTAAGGCTTGGGGTTGAAAGTCCTCCAAGTTGTCGCCGATGTGATTTAGCGCATGGTAGCAGAACACGGACACGAAGACAAAAACCCCTGACGACACGCGCAAAGTCAGGAGGCACTAGAGGCTTTCGGGCCCTTAACTCTAAACCCTAAACCCTAAACCCAAACCCCAAACCCTAAACCCTAAACCCGAAACCCTAAACCCCAGACCCCGAATTGGGGCTCCGGGTCTCAACCAGGGGTCCTTTATCGGGTTTAGGGTTTAGGGTTTAGGGTTTACTGGTGGTTGTCAAGATTGTGATCCCTTTTGGGGTACCCCAAATATTAGCTGCCGCATTATAATCGGGATCCTTAGAAAGGGTTTAGCGTTTAGGGTTTAGGATTTGGGGGGTGTTCTGAATTTAGAACAGCCCCCGATAGGGTTTGGCCTAGGCCAGGGTTCACACAAGGGAGTCAGCACTTGAGCACACCAAACCCTTCTTGCAGTCCAAATACCAGGCGCAACCCTGAACTCCTAAACCCTAAACCCTAAACCCCAAACCCTACACCACACAAAAGCTCAAGATTTCAACCAACATCTTCAGCCCTAATGGAGACTAAAAAATAGGTCTGGGCATTTGGGGTTTCGGGTTTAATCGCCAATAGACCTACTTATAGGCCCAGTTAGGACTACCCATGAACCTTCGAGTATGAAGCCGGAGTGATTCAGCATAGCACGCCGTAACCCAAGTATCTGCAACTTCGTTGGCGCAGAACACCTCAGGCCCTTAAACCCCAAAACCTAAGCCTTGAAACCCACAGACCCAAGAATCCCCTTAAACCTTGAGGGTTTAGCCCTTAGGGTTTTGAAGTCTAGGGCCCTTTAGCCCAACCTTTCATAGCCTCAACCCGTGTCAGCCCCACAACCCCATCTTCACCCGAAGGTTCTGATTCTCACCCACACCCCTAGCCTAAACCCTACGAGTTATATTGTATGCATAAATATAAATATACATATAAATATATATATATATATATATATATATATATATGTATATATGCATAAGTATATGTACCTCTCACTCCTTTAAGTTGTTTAGGTATATATATATATATGTATATACATACATTTATATATACACACACACACATATAAACCCCTTTTAAGTTGTTCATGCATTCATATATATATATATATATGTATACATATATATATATATGTATATATATATATGTATGTATACACAAACCCCCTCCCTGGCCTCGGAGAGTGATGTCCATGATGATGCCATTGATCAGGATCGGGCACAGGATGGTGTACATCCACCTCTGGAGTTTTGTTCTCTGTTTGGATTTATAGGGTTTAGGGTTTAGTGCATTTTTTGGGCTTCTTGGGCTTGTTTTGAGGGGGGGGGGTTGGGGTTAGGGTTTAGGGTTGTTCGGGTCTATAGGGCTCAGGAGGGTCTTCGTGCTGCGGCCCCCTTTCGTGGGGGGGGGGGGGGGGGGTCCTCTTGCAAGTCTTTGGTGGCCTCTGCGGAAAGGAGAACCTGCTTGGAGTTGCCGCCGAATGAAACCCCACATCCCCTAGACCTGCGGAACCCCTAAACTCCGAATCAGACCCATGACCCTTTCTGGTTCAAAGGGGGCTACAAGTGAAGCTAGAAAGGGAATAAGGGCTTACGCCGGGTCCTAGAACCCTCAAGCCCCTAGATCCCCCCTCAACCTCTAAACCTCAACTTCGGTGGCCTTCGGAAGCCCCCGCCCCCTGAAGCCTAATTGCCCAAGGGTCCTTAAACCCTAAAACCTTAACCCGAAACCCTAAACCCTAAACCCTAAACCCTCCTTCAAGGCTGTGGGATGCAGGGCCATGCCGGGTGCCCGGCAGGAAGACAGCGATGATGTTGTGGTACGGGAACGGAAACGGTGTGATTGCAACCTGCCGCGCGCTGCTTCGAGCTGGAGAGCTTTGAGGGTTTAGGGTTTAGGGTTGAGGGTTGAGGGTGAGGGCTTCGCGTTGCTTCGAGTTGGAGAGCTTTGAGGTGTCGGGCAAAATAGCCCAAAGTAGAGGGCATTTGTAAACTTCAGACCTCAATGTAGGTATTATTTGTATGCTTGGAGCCCTATGGTAGGGCTTAGGGTTTCAGGGGTCGGGTTCGGGGTAGAGATTCAGAAGTCTCACGTTCTCTTGGGGTTCATAAGCCCCCAAAATAGCTGCAGTACTTGAGGACCCCGAAGCAGCCCGAAGCCCTAACCCTAAACCCTAAACCCTAAACCCCAAACCCTGCAAAGGTGCGCCGCATGCCTGGTGTTTCGACCAAAGAAGGTTTGAGGGGTGCAGAGGCAGGTGAAACAGGCTCTTATTCCAAGTCTCCCCAAAGGGACACCCACACAATATACTCTATATGTATATTTGTATACATATAGATACATACAGCAATGTAGTGATCCATAAAAAGCACCCTGCTTCATATGCGAAAGTACCACCTGCATATCGGCGAGGCAGAACCAGCGCGAGGCTGCAACAGGGAGTCTTCAGCGAGCTGTCGTTCCACGAACTCTCATCAGGGGATTCAGACTCGTACCCTTAAGGTTGTACCCCTAAAGGTTCCCTTAATATGTGCCTAATAACATGGCCCCTATACGCCCTTCAGGATCTTTCTAAAGAGTTCCCAAAACCCATGGGTTCAACCTTATGGCTCCAAGGTACAAGCCCTGGATCTCAAGGGTAGTGAGATGGTCCCTTGACATGGTCCCTTAACTTCTATTAAAGGGTTCTGAAGTATGGGCCTTGGGGTTTTTGAGGGGCAGATAAGGGGGCCCAAAGGAAGGGGCCATGTAACTACCCTAAGACAAACACCCCGTCCCACACATAGCACACAACTTTTGCGACACCCGGTGCTGGCTCGGTCTCTCAAGACACAGTACCTTAGTTGCTGAGTTCATGAGCCCCCAAAAGGTGCACACTGTCAGTTCTGTAGCGGTCGTTAAAAAGTGTAAAGTGTACTCGTTCAGCTACAAAGGTACACCAGCTTCGGTCGCCAAGCTGCGATGCCGCGGATGCGCTTGCCCGGGTTTGGTTCTGATGCGTCGTGGGCGGATGAAGGGTCAGTTGCTCCCGGGAGTGCCCAGCTGCGGAGCAAACCAGACTGTCAGGAGAGAGGATGTGCATGCGGCAGAGCATGTACCTCAGCGCCTCATCAGTCCTCGGTTGCTGGGTCCCGGAATCCCTGGCAAAGCCCTTGGCAATCACATGGTCTTAAACCCACTCTAAGCCCTAAGTCCCAAGCCCCAAGCCCTAAACCCTAAAACCTAAAACCTAAACCCTCCAACCCTGAACCCTAAGCCCGTAAACACCCCAACCAAGTCTCATTCGACCCTCCTCATCGTGGCAGTAGCTGTAGAGCCACGTCTCCCTTCGCTCAGCCTCGGGCGCGCCGGGGCGGAAGCCGGGAGGTACCTGAAAGTCGAAGAAGACATCTCGTGAAAGAGAGTCAGGCAGAGAAGAAGCATGTGATGTGAAATACACAGATGTATATATATATATATGTAGGTTCGAAGAAAAGAAAAACATGGCAACAGAAAGAAAACAGAAAGAAAGAAAGAAATAAAGAAATAAAGAAAGAAAGAGGGAGGGGTGATTTGAGAAAAATGCGGCGAGAGAGAGAGAGAGAGACACACAGACAACAATTCATGCAAAGGAGAGAGGGAGAACCACACAAGGCAGAATGAGAGAAAGACAGGATGAGGACAGAGAGATGGAGAAAGAGAGAGAGAGAGAGAGCGAGAAAGAACGAATCATTGAATCACAAAGAATTAAGGAAAGAAATAAGTACATACACAAAGAAACAACAAACGAAAGAACCAGAGACAGAGGGAGAGAACAAGAGAGATGATAGAATCAGAGAGAACAAAAACACGTATGGAGAACAAACGGAACATAATGACATCATGAGACAGATAGCAAAAATCAGCAAGACAAAGAGACAGAAATCGGAGATTCATACCTCTCACAAGCAGCAGTCACGGAACAATCAAGGGCTAGCGGCTAGCGCCACCAAACACTTGCAACCTCCTCGGGGCGCAACCGCTTCCCGCAAAAACCCCACAGATTGCGGAAGGCCTGTATCCCCAAATGAGCCAGATTACTCTAGGGGCCTTAAAAAATCATAAAAGGATTTTGTGGGGGTAATTCTAGTCTAGTAAGAAAGGGACCATAAGGGAATACTATTAGTAATTATTCCGACCCCGATATCACGCAATATTTCGTTGAGGTCGAGGGCTGCGAAAAGACTTGGGCTTTCTTGCTCGTTACCGTTGTTCGGATTTCAGGGGTTCGGGTTTGGGGTGTAGGGTTTAGGGTTTATAGGGTTTAGGGCTTTGGGGTGTAGGGTTTAGGGTTTGAGGTTTGGGGTTTAGGGTTTAGGGTTTGGGGTTTAGGGTGTAGGGTTTTGGGGTCCAAGGAAGAAACACTCGAGGAGCACCTGTGCTTTGAGCCAATCCACCAGGCTCTCGCGAAGGGCCTCCCAGGACTCTTACTTGGAGGTTCAGGGGTGTAGGGGTTTAGGGCTAGGGTTTAGGGTTTAGGGTTTAGGGTTTAGGGTTTAGGGTTTAGGGTTTAGGGTTTAGGGTTTAGGGTTTAGGGTTTAGGGTTTAGGGTTTTAGGGTTCAGGGTTCAGGGTTCAGAGTTTAGGGTTTAGGGTTTAGGGTTTAGGTTTGGGGTGTAGGGCTTGGTACCCCGATGATATCTGTACTTAAACCCAAATATAACCCAATTTTGATACTTAAGAGGCTGCAAGTGGTTTGGACGCGTCTTGCAAAGCATTCAGCCCCCTATATTAGGTAAAACGTCCAAGGGCCCTGAGAAGGGTCCCTCCTTTCGAGGGTCCCATTCCATCCCAGTTTTGGTTTATGACACCTTAAACCCCTAAACCTTAAACCGGAAACCCTACACCCTATAAGCCCTAAGCCCGTTAAACCCTATAAGCCCTAAGCCTTACTTGGAGGTTCAGGGTACTCAGTAACCCAATTCTAAGTGTAGCTATAACCACACAAAGCCTCCAAAAGCTAGACTTTGAACCTTCAAACCCGAAACCCTAAACCTCTAAACCCCGAGCAATCCCTAGACATCTGCACCTCGAAACCCTGCAACTTCCTCCGGACCCAAGAGTAACCTAGGTTTCAAAAAGGGTAATCACCCTTTCTAAACCTAACTCTGAACAAAATGGGGAAAAGGGCCTACTCTGGGTTCTAGCCCTAAACCCTAAACCCTAAACCCTAAACCCTAAACCCTAAACCCTAAACCCTAAACCCTAAACCCTAAAAAGATGGGCTCGGGGCCTACTCCGGGTCCTAGTCCTTCTGAGAGGCCAGCGCCTGCGTCCCCAAAGCCTTGGACTCCAAAACCTCCCGGCGGAGGACGGCGCAGATCCGGGCGGGCGTGTAGGCAGCCAAGAGCTGCCCCTCGTAGGTTTAGGGTTTAGGGTTTAGGGTTTAGGGTTAGGGTTTAGGGTTTAGGGTTTAGGGGGTATAGGGTTTAGGGTTTAGGGGGTTTAGGGGGTTTAGGGTTTCGGGCGGCATGGAATAGCAGGACTGTCACCTGCACGCAGGTTCATGGCAGGACGCACTGCGCTCACGTGTGGGGGCGGGGGGGTGTGCAAGTAGCGACTGAAGCCAGCTCTACTCGAGAATGAAACAATCTTTGTTCAGGGCTTAGAAAGGTTGTGGAATTTGTGGTTTAGGGCTCCAGACAGATGGCTGTCTGAACAAAACGCGCCGAGTAACAGGCTGCGCAAGTCACCCTCGTTGGATCACAACCCCGAAGCCCCCAAGCCCCCTGAACCTCCTGCAGAGCCACCGTAGACCCTTGAACCCTAAACCCTGAAATTTAAGGGACCATGTACCTTATTATTTCATACTTGGGCCCCAAAGTCCCTAAATAGGAAGTACTTTAATTAAGGCCGCCCTAAATGCCATGAACCGTAAACCCCTTCCTCCTGGGCGCCTTAAGCTTATCGGCCCGCACGCCGCTATCGAGGCTCACGTAGGTCAACCGGTGCGGGTCCTGGGGCGGTTCGGGATTTATCGGGTTCATTTTAAGGCTCTACAGGGTTGGTCTTCCGGTTTTACAGGATTCTTTTTGAGGCTGTAACACCCCACCCTTAGCTCTCAACCCTGAACCGTATACACACCCTGAAACCCTGAACCGCTAGACCCCTAAACCCTAAACCCTAAACCCTAAACCCTAAACCCTCAACCCTAAACCATAAACCCTAAACCCTAAACCCTAAACCCTGAACCCGATCCTGGCGCGCTGTGAGCTGCTCTGCCAGGCCAAAGTGGACGCTGGCATAGAAGTGGCTCTCGAAGTGCATGTCCGCAGCGCTTTGTAGCGTGCCCTTTGGGTTCAGCCGACCCTAAACCCTAAACCCTGAACCCTAGACCCTAAACCCTAGCCCCTAAACCCTAAACCCTAAACCCTAAACCCCCCCTTTAAGTTCAGCCCCAAACCCTGAACACTAACCCTAAACCCTAAACCCCCCCCCCCCTTTAAGTTCAGCCGGGTCGTAGGGTTGAGAGCTAAGGGTTCAGTAAGGCTGCCTTTTTGGGGAGTTTAGGGTTGGCTGTTGATCCTATATCCCTTCAAAACGATACAGACAAGGGCGTGTTGTGGGGTAAGGGCTGCTCCTTGGTGGAGTGCAGCACGCTCTCCGCCATCTGGCGCCGTTCGTTGTAGAGTACTCGGAGAATGGCATCCTCTGGGTGCAGGGCATCCTCGGAGGTCGCTTCTCCAGTCACCATGTCGTGCATGTTGTGGATCTCCCGCGCCCAGCCTTGGTAGCCCAGTAGACATCTTGTAATAAGGGTACCTGTTTGCTTTTTGGTTGGTTACCTTATATAAGGGAACCCAGAACCCAACAAAGAAAGGGCAAAGGGATGGAAAGGGTACCACTGGGCTACCAAGCAGCGGTAGATGCAGTCGTCCACGCACTCGGCATACTGGCGCAGGATGGCCTCTAGGACCTCTGGAAGGCGTCAAAGCAACAACACACAGGGCTTGGCTCAAAGAATGTGGGGTTCAAGGAACGAAAGGATGGAACCTGATAAGGGACCTTAGGGGTTCTTTGGGGCGTATTTAGGGGCATCTTAGGTATATAGGGACTATATAGGGCATATGTAAGGGTTATATAACGGATTAAGATTAAGGGTCTCTTGTAGGGGTCGCAATTGAAGTCCAACCCTGCAGCGAACCGTAGTGAAAACCTCAGGGCCCTAACCTCTGCAAACACTACCTTAAGAACCCAGAACCTACGTTTTTGCGGGCTATTACTACAAGACCCCTGGTAGGATTCTTGGTAGCATACAACGAAGTAGGTTTTGGCTCTTAAGGCAGGACTTAAACGCTTGAAGCACCTGCGGCTGATCTCTCTCCACATGGTCGAAGGTCTGGTGAACCAAGCAAGCCAGCTCCCGATACTTCATTGACCTGACATGCAAACGTGTCAAGGGGGCCTCTTGGCACACCCTAAATGGATTAGGGCTTAGTTAGGGTTTGAGTTTAGGGGTTAGGGGCCAGGGTCTAGGGTTTCGGGTTTCAGGTTTAGGCCCTATACCCTGCTTCTTTTTCTGAAGGAGTCCTATAGGAGGGTCGAGGTGGAAGGTTTCGGCAGAAATTGCGAAGGAAACCCCGCAACCACAGCTGGGGGTGACAATGCCCACTCTGCCCAAGCGAAGTTCAGCGTGTGCAAAAACAAAGCAGGAGTTGGGAGGGTTTAGGTGTAACGTTTAGGGTTTACAGGGTATAGGGTATAGGGTTTAGGGTTGACAATTCAGTCCGAAAACGTACCCTCCACCGTACCGAAACCCTCAATCATACAATCAGTTCTGTAAAAACGTGGCCCTGTTTGGGGGTCCGTCCGTATGCTAAGGCGGCCCCTCTTTTTTCAGGGCACCCCTGAAAACGGGAGCTAAACCCTAAACCATACCGAAGCCCTCAGTTTCCGCCCGTACCTCTCCTCAGCAGCCCTGGGCGCCCCCATAACCGAATCGTTTTGGGCCTCAGTGGGTTTAGGGTTTAGGGTTTAGGGTTTAGGGTTTAGGGTTTGGGGTTTAGGGTGAGTTTCATGGGCCCTTAATACGGTCCCTTACCCTCCTTCAAAGGGTTCTGATGAAGGGCCCTTGATTGGTATTTAAGGATCCCTACGAAGGGACCATGCAGCTACCCTAATCACAAAGGGGGATGGGGTTGTTAGGGTCTTGGGCGATTTGCAGTCAGACGAGCAGCTCCCGTAGCTGGCACGTTTCATGTGGGCATTTGGGACAAGGGATCCCTGATCCGGAAGCCCTAAACCCTGAAGCCTAAACCCTAAACTTGCCTAAACCGTACTCTGAACTCTGGCTCGCACAACCATAGTTCCGAAAAGACACCCAAACATCAGGCGAGACAACCTTTAGTTCCTACTGGAGTTTGCAAGTTTCACAGTGTTTAGGATTTAACGCCCTCAACCCTAAACCCTAAACCCTAAACCCAAAACCCTAAACCCTAAATCCTAAACCCTAAACCCCCAAACATCAGCGGAATCGCCAGCTTCTGCAGCAGCCGCCGGGCCCCCTCCAGGATGCCTTTTGGGAGGGCCAAGGGCCTGTCATGAGGCGCACTCGGATCTTCGAGATTAGGTTTGCTAAGTACCATGAACCTCCAAGTAACCCCCTAAACCCTAAACCCTAAACCCGAAACCCTAAACCCTAAACCCTAAACTACACCCTAACCCCCCCCCCCTCCCTCCCCCCCGCCCACCTCGCCAAGTGGCCCAGGCGCTCTACAAGCAGCTCGGGCCCGCGGGGATCTGCCGAAGTAATCCTTGGGCTCGGATGGGTTTAGGGTTTAGGGTTTAGGGTTTAGGGTTTAGGGTTTAGGGTTTAGGGTTTAGGGTTTAGGGTTTAGGGTTTAGGGTTTAGGGTTTAGGGTTTAGGGTTTAGGGTTTAGCCCGATAACCATATTCTCATAAGGGCATCCGGTTTTGGGGTTGGTTACGTGATTTAAGGGAACCTTGAACCCAAAAAAAGGGGAAAAGGGCACCACTGGGCTACCAAGTGCTCTATGAACATGAGGGTGCACGGGTTTAGGGTTTGGGTTTCGGGCTTAGGCTGAGCCTGAGAGGTAAAAAAGATAGAGACTGAAACACAAAAGGCCCCTTGTGGGGATTAGGCTCGGGATATCGAGCCTTTGGAAAGTTGTTTTTTTGGGGGGGGGCTGATGCACTTAGCCAAGCGGAGGTTCATGGACAGTTCTAGGGGTTAATTGCAGAAAGTCCGAAATAAAGGCAGAGTCGAGTAACCAGCTACACCTGAACTTTCTCTACATAGAACCTTAATCTTAACTACCCCATGACCCGTTTACCTTATGCGAAACCCTAAACCTTAAACCCTTGTTGGTATAGCCTGTGGGTTGACCCCGAAATCCCAACACAAGCTGTTGAGGGTGTGGGGAAGCACTCTGCCTGCTGTGAATAGTCCCTATATTGCCCAAACAAGGAGGATAGTTGTTTGTTTTCTTCTGGGTAAACCCTAAACCCTAAACCCTAAACCCTAAACCCTACACCTTCAGCAAAAAATAGTAGTCATCGGTGATTCTTTGGCGGCTAGGCGTCTCTCTAGCCGCCTTGAAGACTCTCTGCTTCTCCTGGCAGCCAAGGCTGAGCACTCCGAGGGTTTAGGGTTTAGGGTTTAGGGTTTAGGGTTTGGGGTTTAGGGTTTAGGGTTTGGGGTTTAGGATTTAGGGTTTAGGGTTTAGGAGTCCCCCCCCAAACATGAACGCACCCGAACATCCCCCCAACCCCACCCCTAAACCCTCAACCCTCAACCTAAACCCTCTACTTGCCCAAGCGTCTGCCCGAGGTGACCAGCTGTGCCTTTAGGATGTGATATAAAGCTTCCCTCTGAAAAAAATATTCTTGTGGTCCAGGGTTTAGAGACAAGAGGGTATGGGTTTAGGCTTTGGGGATAAGGCGGAGGGGGTAGGGCTTAGGGTCCCGGGCTTTGTGACTAGGGGCTGCAGAGCTCTTTGGGCTTCAAAGTCCTGGCCCGACAGGGAGAGGTGCGATGAGTCGAGGGTCCTTGCTGCTTGACGAGTTTCAACGAAAGGGGACTAGGGCTTGGGGTTTCGGGTTTAGGGTTTAGGGGTTTAGGGGGGGGGGGGGGTTTAGGGTTAGGGTTCGGGGGGGGGGGCTTGTAATTATAGGGTTTAGGGTTTGGAAGCTGAACCCCTAAACCTCTATTGAAACCCCTAACTCCCTCAGTACAAAGAAAATTAAAGCCCTTCACCCTTAAACCCCTGCAGTCGCAGGAGTGCCACAGCTCCTCCTCCCCCCCCCCCCACCCCAGAAGCGCAACAACATGGCCCACTCTGGGTCCTAGGATAAGGGAATGCACAAAAAGCTTAAGTGCACTTGAATTAAGCGCCCTTGCTATGGCAACTTCGGAAAAGTTACTTAGCAAGAGCCCAGAACCCCATACCCCATACCCCAGAACCCTAAACCATAAACCTTAAACCTAAACCCTACACCCTAGTTAAGCTTAAGCCCTAAACCCTAAACCCTAAACCCTAAACCGTAAACCGTAAACCGTAAACCCTAAACCCTAAACCCTAAACCCTAAACCCTAAACCCCCCGGTAGAAACTCGCAGCCTGGGCTCAGGAAGGAGTCACCCTCGCCAAGAGCAGCCCAGAGCCGGTAGAAGGCGCTCTCGCTCGCCGCCTTGGTCACCCTGCACCCCAAAAACCCTGGGTTTAGGGTTTAGGTTTAGGGTTTAGGGTTTAGGGTTTAGGGTTTAGGGTCTAGGGTTTAGGGTTTAGGGTTTGGGGTTTAGGGTTTAGGGTTTAGGGTTTGGGGTTTAGGGTTTTAGGGTTTGGGGTTTGGGGTTTGGGGCTTGGGGTTGGGGTTTAGGGTTGCACCCTTACTTGCCCTAAAGCCTAGAAAAGCCTAAACCATTGCTGACTCCCAGGCCCGAAGCCCTAGACCAAAAATTCCAGGCCTGGACCACTGAGGGTTTACGGCAACATGGATAGTTGCAAGGGTTCAGGGTTTAGGATTTAGGGTTCAGGTTTTAGGTTTTAGGGCAAGACGGGGCAACCCAAGATAGGGCTGACTCACATTAGCCAGCAGTTTAGCTCGAGTTCTCCTATAGTTGTAAGCGTTCGAAACCCTTAACAACCCTTAAATTTAAAAAAAATCCCCTGACTCGGAAACGCTGTCAGGAAAGAACGAGCCTGCCTCCCAGTCTTTCGAAAGCTCTCCAGGAAGCTCTTCCTGAAGGGGGGTCGGGTACCTACTGGTTCTTAGTAGGGAATGTGAGCATATATCGAATAATTTGAAGTACCTACACAATTTCCTTCCTTCCCTACTAAGAGCTGGTAGGGGTAATTCCTTCATTCCCTACTAAGAACTGGTATGAGGCCCTGGAGGCAGTTGGCGTGCAAAATGAGGGTCCGACTAGTACCTGAACTTGAAACGTAGGTGAACGGAAGCAGCTACAGGGTCTCCAGGGTTTAGGGGGGACTTTGTTGCTGAGTTCATAAGCCCCAAGAACGTGTACACTTTCAGTTCTATAGGGTTTTATAGTATCCCAAAAAGTGTAAAGTGTACTCATTCAGCTACTACGGGGATTAGGGCCGGCTTCTAGCAGCTCCGTGCTTAAGATCAGACAGCAGGGAGCAACGGAAGCCCCTATGGAGCCTGGGACGAGAAACTTCCCGAACTGCTAAATCCCGAACTTTAAACAACCTGAAACCCAGTAAGCCCCGTCGCCTCTACCAAAATTTACATATAGCTCACTCCTCAACCCAAAAACACCAAATCCCATACCCTAAACCCTAAACCCTAAACCCTAAACCGTAAACCGCTGTCAGGTCAGCTCTTCCGTCCTTCGACTGCTTCTCACACAAGGCAGAGAGTCGCACCTGCCTGCCTGATAGGGGTGCTGGGATGGATCTTTAGGGTTTAGGGTTTAGGGTTTAGGGTTTAGGGCCGCGGGAGGCCGAAAAGGGGGCGTTGTAACACATGAATTTCTGTGGGTTCTGGAGGGAAATATCAACCCTCAGGGTAGTTTAGGGTTTAGGGTTTGGGGAGCTTGGGAGTTTGGGGAGTTTGGGGAGCTTGGGGAGGTTTGGGCTTGGGGTTTAGGTCTTCACACGGAATCAGGGACAAGGTTCTCTTGAAAGTCCGCTTCAAGGGATATTGATTTAAGCTTGCCTCTATAGTCCCTTAAAGGGGATACAAAACCTACATTGTTGCAGGAAATTATTTACGATACCCCTTATAGGATTTTTAAGTAGCCTGCAACAAGTAAGTTTGGGGGATCTTCAGGAATAGCCCATGCCACTCGTCCCTACTTGCTCCTAAGAACTGGCAAGTTGGAGAAGAGTTCGCGGATTCTGGCTTTGGCAACCTGCGTGCCCTGAATCCAAAGCATCCTGGGACACAA